ATTGCTTTGAGGATCAAACTAAATAATTCTGCACCGTGTTCCAGAAACCTTAAATCCCTGTCTCAGTGCCCACCACTGTTAGTTCAAGGGATAGGTGACCTGATTTGTGAGCACCTCCGACCCAGGACACATCGAAGCCTCTCTGGGTATGATTCTTGTCCGTGTCTTGCCATGATTCCTCCCCACCTGCTGCAGGCCATCCTCTGGTTCGGCGTGCAGCTCTTGTTTGCAGTGGCCTTCTGTTATCAGTTTAGCAGATATTTAGGAAGTACTTACTAATGTGCTGGGCACTGAGCCAAGCACTCGAGATATTTTTTAAAAGGCAAAAACAAAAACAAAAAACCAGTCTTAGCTCCCAGAGCATCTTCTCTTTCTGTAAGTCAGGGGGATCAGGGATTCCAAGCGTTCATTAAGCACTAACTGTTTGCAAAGCTGTGCTGGAGCTAGTAAAGGTAGTCCTTGTGCTCTGTTAACATTCTCATAAGGAAGGGGACCTGAAAAGGGGGGTGGGCAGGTTATCCCCGCAGGCTCTGGCCATCTGGAAAGACAGCTGGGCCCCTCTCCGACATGAGGCCCATGCCTGGAATGCTGTCCCTCCTCACCTCTTCCTCCTGGCTTCCTTCAAGTCCCAGCTCAAATCCCACCTTCTACAGGAAGCCTGTTTGTGTGTTGTGTCTCCCCTTCGACTGGCAGCTCCTGGAAGGCAGGGATGGTCTTTGCCTTTCTTTGTATCCCCAGTGTTTAGCCCCATGCCTAACAAATGTTTATTAACTGACTGATAGTGGGAACTCATTGTTGTAGTCATTGCAGTCGTGACTTTGTGATCTCACTTGGGATTTTCTTGGTGAAGATCCTGGAGCGATCTTCCATTTCCTTCTCCAGCTCATTTTACAGATGAGGAAACTGAGGCCAACAGGGTTAAGTGACTTGCCCAGGGTCACACAGCTAGTAAGTATCTGAGGCTGGATTTGAACTCAGGGAGATGAGTCTTTCTGTCTTCAGGGCTGGCACTATCTAGTATGCCACCTAGTTGACTTAGAACAAACTTATCAGTGGAAAAAGGGACATGTCATGGTGGAGGGAATCTCTGGGGGGAGATGGGCTAAGAAGTCCTGAGAGTCAGTCAGGGGCAGGGGCAGGAGAAGAATGAAGCAAAGTGGACCAGGTTCTGTCCCCAAAATGGAGGCCCTGGTACCAATTCACCAATGGGAGAAGCAGTTGATACGGTGGAGGTATATTCCAAGGTGAGGAAGTCTAGAGCTTCAGAATCAGAGTTCTGGAAATTAGTCCAATCCGCTCACTTTTCAAATGAATAAATTGAACCCTGAGAAAAGTGACTTCCCTAACGTCGGCATGTAAGCCGTGTCAAAAGTAGGATTTGAACCCAGCTTCTCTGCATCCAGCCTGACGGCTTTGCCCCTCCCCACATGTCCTTCGTACTACCTTTTTATAACATTCCTCTCTGCAGGTCACGATGGTATCAGGCCCCAGCCTATTTATACCCACTCTGGATCTCCTCCACTGTCCTCTGGGTCACCGGCAATGGTGCCTCTCCGTGATCGTCATGTCCCATGATTCGTGGCCATGTGGGGCCTGCTCACAGGGGAGGACTATTGGTGTTAAAAACATGGGCTTTTGCTTTCTGAGAGCAGCTTGAGGTTACTGAAAGCATCATGCGCTTTCCCTAATTGGATCTGATCTCCTCCTCCACCTGGCTTCACTCCTTGGCCTTTCTCTTCGTCACAGATTTAGAGCTGTGGGAAACCTTAGACAACACCCACCCCCATTTCACAGAGGAGGAACCTTGAGGTCCAGAGGATATATGTGGTTTATCTGGAGTCGCACAGGCAGGATGTGTCAGAGTAGAGATTTGAACCCAGGTCCTCGGTCTCCAAATGTATTACCCTTTCTGCTCTGCTCTGCTACCTCCCTTCTCTGTCTTTTAGTCCCTGCCCAAGCTAGATGTGTTGATGGTATAACTTACAGGGATGATGATTTTAGAACCAGTAGGATGTCAGATATCAATAAGTCATCTGTCCAACTTCAGGTTGCCATCTGAGCAATAGTCATTTTTTCATCTGTTTTATAGTAACAATCCCAAGGCACATTAATAATGCGGATTAAAGTTTGTAAAATGTTTTTATTTATAGCAGCACATCCTCCCCTCCTCATAAATAGATTTAACCCATAATTGTAGCCCAAATACCATCACTTTGCAATGGACAGCAGTGGTTTTGGCTGCACACCTGTGATCTCATTCCCGAAGGAACCTTCTGGAGCTATGCATACAGATGGGCCCCTGCTCAGCAAGTCTGAGAGTGTTCCCAGGGGCATTGTCCTAAAAAACTACTGCTTACTAACAGAGCCCATCTCTTTCCCCCATGGTGGGGTTTGTCCGCTCGGTTTCCTCTTTTCTGTCTGTCTGAGATCTGCTACGTGACTCGCGTCTTATAGCCAATCAAACCCAACTCAGCCGGACCCTCTCCAGCCTTTTAGCATGGCCCCCCAGACATCATTGTTTTCTCCCCCACTGGCTTGAGACTCTCTTCATAGAAGCCTTGCATTTTTGCTGATATATTAGGGACAGCTAGGTAGTTGAGTGGATGGAGTACTGGGCCTGAAATCAAGAAGATCTGAGTTCAAATCTTGCCTCAAACACTTACTAGCTATGTGATACTGGGCAAATTAAACAACCTCTGTTTGCCTCAGTTTCCTCATCTGTACAATGAGCAGGATGATGATGATGATAATAATAATAATACCTCCCAGGGTTGTTTGGAGGATCAGATGAAATAATAATTGTAAAACGCTTAGCACATTTCTTAGCACATTGCAGGCAATAGGATCATGACAGTAGTAGTCAGATGTGGTTCTGCCCCATGTCTCTACAGTCCCCAAGCATTTATTCAGTGCTTACTGTGTGCCAACCACCAGGGATACAAAGAATGCCAAAAACACAGTCCCTCTCTCTCAAGGAGCTCACAGTCGAATGGCAGACAACAGACATCTTGCAACACCTGTGTATCTGTGATCCCAGAGGGAAGGTATAGGAGCAGGAAAAGCGTCTTATGGAAGGTGTGACTTGAAGTCAGGAAAGCTAGGAGGCTGAGGTTTAGGAATACTCCTTGAATGTTGGCGCCCTGGGACAAAGCCCCATTTGCCATAGGCCAGTTACGGTTTTGATTGTTAACTGAACGTCACTTGAAGATGGCAAGTGGCTACGACTTCACGTTAAAAGTGTTTTATGGATCTGATGAAGGAATCGAGAGTGTTTTTCCTGGAGGAGAGAAGGTTTGGGTATGGGTGTGTTGGGGGCGGGGAGAATGACAGAAGAATGGCCCTCAGTAACTTGAATGAAAGAGGGTGTCTGCTTCTTCTATTTAGGCCCGGAAGTCAGAAACAGGATCAAGGGGATGGAAGTGAATGGGATAAAATTTAGTCATATTAGGGAATTCAGAAGAGGGATGGGCTGCCTCAAGAGGCAATGGCTTCCTCCTCAATGTAGGTCTTCAAGAGAAGACCTCTGAAGAGATTTCTTGCTCAGCTCCAGGTTGGACTAAATTTCTTCTACAGTCTCTGCCCACTCTTGACATTCAGTGATTACAGCAGCTTCCCCCCCAACCCCACTGACAAACTGAGAATGAATCAGCAAAGAGCTTTGAGGCAAAGTCCAACTTGAAAGGCATTTGGATGGACATAAAGGTCACATCCTGTCTTTGGGCCAGTGCCCATCTGGTCCTCACTGCTGGCTGCCTAGACTGTAAGGTGACTGGGTGTTCAGTCAGACCATCTCATAGTGTGGTATCCTCTTTCTGGACTAGATGTGCTGGGAGGCCTACCCTCTCTTAAAAGCACATGCTCTGTTAGCTCTCGTAATGTGGTATCCTCTTTCTGGACTAGATGTTCTGGGAGGCCTACCCTCTCTTAAAAGCACGTGTTCTGTTAGCTCTCGTAATGTGGTATCCTCTTTCTGGACTAGGTGTGCTGGGAGGCCTACCCTCTCTTAAAAGCACATGCTCTGTTAGCCAAGTAAACTCTGACCTTCCAAGGCTAGACTTTTGGTTCCTTACAATGGACATCATGGTATAGTAGAATGACACAATTTGGTCTTGACTTTCAGTACAGCCCCTCATTGGCTTGGGATGCCAAGCAATTAATTTCTTTATCTATAAAATGACTAGTTTAGATTCACTGAGCTCTAAGGTTCCTTCCTGCCAGCTCTAAATCTGTGTTCCCATAATTAAATGGTTTTTTTTTCCAAGTTAGATTTTTGATTTTTTGTTTTGCTTCTCTTCCATAACCCATCCCTGTTACAACTATGTCCCCTTTCCCTCAGCCATCTCTTATAACAAAGAACTTTTTTTGAAATAAAAAAGTATGAGAAGTCATTCAGCAAAACCTATTCATTAAAAACCTAATCTTGCCTCAAACTATCACAGTGTTCTGCCCCACTCCCATCACCTATGCGAAGCGTGTGGGTATGTATGGTGCAGGGATCTTCTTATATCTTCAACTTGGGGACAAGTTTGCTCTGTATGAATTGACTGTTTTGGACTCTCCATTTATGTTGTAATTGTGATGATTGTTTTTCTGCCTGCTTCCTTCATTTTGTATCAGTTCATGTGAGCCTTCCCATGCTTCTCTGAATTCATCATTTTCATTGTTTCTTCCCATGGAGTGGTATTCCCTGACAATCATGAGCCATAATTTTTTTTTTGAGTTGAAGACCTCCACGGGCTGTATGTATACACACATAGATAGAAAGATTCATAGATTAGATATAGACATATATAGGGGTGTGTGTGTGTGTCCACTGTCCTTCTTTCCCTTTCTCTCCCCTAGATTGTAAGCACCGTGAGGGCAGAGACTGTGGGTAGTACTGTGTAGAGAACCGTATCTCATTTTGTCTTTTATGTCTAGCATGGCACCCTGCAAGAAGCAAGGTCTTGACGGGTGATGGCTACATAGAAACTGACCGTCTTCTTTGCTCTGTGTTCCAGAGAGCGTACTGTGGCCAGTGCAGTGAAAGGATATGGGGTCTCGGAAGGCAAGGCTACAAGTGTATCAACTGCAAATTGCTGGTCCATAAACGTTGTCATATACTTGTACCACTGACCTGCAAAAGGCATATGGTAAGTGAGGGCACAAGTCGAGGGAGAGGGCTCCGGTGTTGGAATGCCTACGGCTCGTGGCGCCAGAATGAGATCAGGGTTGGGCTCATTGGAACATGTTTGAGAGAGGCAGCCTGGTGTAATCTGTGAGGTGCTGGGCAGAATCATAAGGTTCTGGGTTTGAATCCTGTCTCAGACAATTCACTTGGGCAAGTGATTCACCTCTCTGAGACTTGGTTTTGTCTTATGTCCTATTGGGATAATAATGGCAACTACCCCAAGAGTAATTTAATCTGCTCATTATGCTATATATTATAATATTCTTTACAGTTAAAGAACTTGGGGACCTTTGGACCACTGTCAAGAATTTGGAGGTTCACAGATCACTAAATGGGAATTGCCCTATTCCCTACTGCCTGTCTAACAGTAGTGATGATGATTGGCCCTCCAGGTTTACATGCCCACCGCCATTACTGGCTAAGACGTTCTTTTCTTTGCTTTATAGAATGAGGAGAATGGGGCTCAGAAATGGAGTCACTTTTCTTGTGATTACCCAGATAAGTCAGCCTTAGCAGTGGGATCAGAACTTGGGTCTTCCTGACTCTCATGCCCTCCACACTATCCATTGCACTGCTTTCTGTGAACATGTGACCTCTTCTGTAGGGAAATTAGGTTGAATTCTTCAGCCTTTCCATCATGGAACAGCTCTTGGCATGATATGGGTGGGAGGCTGCTATAGTAGCAGGTAGCAGGCCGTGGCTCCTACCACCAGTATCTTTGTTCTCCTCTCTGGAAGATGAGGAAAGTGAGAGGTCCTAGGAGATGAAATGTCTTATTGGATTTAAAGTCCTGAGTTCAAATTCTGCTTCTGGCACATACTTATCTGGGTTATCGTGATAGTAGGAAAGTCACTTTACGACTGAGCCTCAGTGTCTTCATCTCTGAATTGGACATAATAATGCTGTGGGACCTAGCTCCCACGTGACGCTCCCATGTGCCAATCCACACGAAGTACTTCAATGTTCATTGCTCCTGGAAATCTCCATTGTCTTTTTTTGATGAATTTGGGTGTCCTTTTATTAAAAGGAAATTAAGTGTCCATTCTTCATAGTGGTTGAAAATGACTGACCTTTTCTTGGACAAGTGTCAATATCATTAGAGCCAGATGGGAGACTATCTAGTCTGACCTCATTTTACAGAGGTGGAAACTGAGGCCCCCAGACAGAAAATGGCATGTCCAAGTTTGAGAACCATGCAAGTGACCCAGCCAGAATTCCAACCCATCACGTTCAACTCTAGATCCAGAATCAAGCTCAGCGGCATTTCAGCTTCTTGGCATCACTGTACGTTCCAATAGGCTTTGGAGACATGGTGCCTGTTGCCAACTGGCCCCATTCAAGTGGCATAATAAGAATGAAGAAGCAAGATCTTTAATTGAATTTGAATTTTTATCTTCTCCATATGCCTCCTGGGTTTCATTAAAGTATAATTAATGATAAGGAGAAGAGTTAGGGTTTGGTTTGTTTCTAATTTGTTTTCAGTGTCGCACTGTGAAGACACCAGAAGGAGCTGAGGAGGGAATGAAAGCCGTGTCAAAGTATGTGAAAGGGATCATGGCTCCTCCTCTTCCTCTTCTTCTTCTCCTTTTTTTAGGGGGTGGGGTGGGGGAGGCAGTCAGAATTAAGTTATTTCCCCGGGTCAAATAGCTAGTATCTGTGACTAGATTTGAACTCAGGTCCTCCAGATCCCAGGGCCTGTGCTCTGCCCCTCGCTTCTACTGGACTGGCATGTCCACCTTTCTCTGGGGGTCTTCAAGATCATCATAACGTTGGGCATTTTGATTTCCTATTCCCAAAGTGCTTTACGTGCATTATCTCGTGAGAGCTTCACCACAACTCTTAGAGAAATGGTGTTATGTCCATTTTACAGATTAGGAAACCAGCTCTCAGAGAAGTGAAATGACTGGCTTAGAAGTGTCAGAGCTGAGATTCAAACCCATGCCTTTCTGACTCCTGGTTGATCCTTCTAACTTGATGATATGAAAAAAGAAATTAATTCACATTGCAGAAGAAAGATGTGGTAACCCAAGAATGCTGACTCAGGATTGTAAGATCTAGGTTCAAATTCTACCCCTGCTTCCTTGATGGGGCAGCTAGGTGGCACAGTGAATAGAGCACTGGCCCTGGACTCAGGAGGACCTGAGTTCAAAACTGGCCTGAGACACACAACACTTACTAGCTGTGTGACCCTGGGCAAGTCACTTAACCCCATTGCCTAGCCAAAAAAAAAAGAACCAAAAAAACAAATTCTACCCCTGACATTTACTACCTCTGTGACCTTGGGCAAGTCACCTAACTTCCTTCAGCCTCAGTTTCCTCTTGTGTAAAATGAGTGAGTTAGCCGAGATGCCTCGGGAGGTCCTTTTCATCCCTATGTCCCGTGAGCCAAGGAGAACTTTATGACTTTGGTCAAATCACTTAATCTCCTTCGGCCTGTATCCTCATGTGTAAAGTGATGATGTTGCATTCGATGACCTTTTTGAGGTTCCTTTCAGGTGTAGATCTTTGGGGCAATGATAGTACTGAATTTCACCTGACTAGATCTAGCTCAGTGTTCTAGGCTGTCTTTTTGGTGGGTAGATTTTTCGGGCCTGGAGGAACAAGAGGGGTCATCTAGTGCATATGAGGGAGCAAAGGCTTTGGGGCTGTAAGAGGCTTGGGTTCCGTGCTCTTCATGAGGAAGAGAAGAAGCTTTGCCTCTTATTTGTGGGATAAGTTTTTGAGACTCTTGTTCTGTGCCTAGGTTTTTGGGCCCCGAGGCAGGGGGTAAGAGGGGCATTTTGGGAAGGACCCCAATCTCTCCTCTCGTGGAAGTCACATTAGACATGGTGGCCAGTCAGACCCTTGTAGACCATAACTGGAGAGCTGGAAGGGTCTCTAGAGAGATCTAATTGAACCATGAAGAAACGGAGTCCCAGATACTCGCCCAAGGCCATCCTATAGATTTCCTCTGCCTAGATCCTTCTGCCCTTCTTGCCTTGCTCTGCCTGGTAACCTGTGGGCCATAAGGACTTTGGGCAGTTAGCTTCTCATCTGTCTGGAGACAGGGGAGGGACCGTGCACAAGGTCACTGAGCTGGAATTGAAATCTCCAGGCTTTTCTGCCTCTAAGCTCGGGGAGGGACAAAAGGTCTCCCTGGCCACCAGGCAGAGCCAGCTTACATTAGATGATGATAATGATGAATCATTTCGATGGCATTTGTTTTTGTCAGGATTCGGTGATGCCTTCCCAAGAACCTCAAATAGATGATAAAAACGATGAAGTCGATCTTCCCTCTGAAGAAACTGATGGACGTAGGTATCTTTCCGTCCCTTCTTTTTTTTTTCTTTCAGTTTCCAAGTAATTTTATTCAGAATTTCGTGGTTTCTTTCCTGAATCAATAAATACTGTACAAAACACCGTAAAAATGACTACTTTCTCTCCCCTGCTCCCTTTACCTGGGGGAGAAGCCAACCCAATGAGTTATTTCAGCCTCATGGTGGGGGTGGACCCCCCAAACTTTGTCCAGGAATTTCCCTCCCTTCTTTGAAGCTAGCTCGTATTCTGTTGGGCCTCAAAATGGTCTGATGCCATAGTTTCATCCTTTCTCCATTAAAAAAAATCCTTTGTGTATGTATAGCTGTCTTAGGGAGGGAGGTGGGGAAGGAAGGGGAGAAATATGGAAGTGATTGTTGATAAATCAAAATAAATTTTTAAAAAATGAGATAAAAGTTATTTAAAAGGTATCAATAAAAATAAAAAAGAAATAAAAAAATTCTTTCTGGATCCTCTCTTGTCTGGACTCAGGAAAGAGGTGAATTTGTCCTCATTGTAGAGAGGAATGATGTGTTTGGGTCAGTGTGTTGGAGACTAGGCGTTACAACCCTCTTCTCTGGAACTTCTAAAAAAATGCAGAGGAATCCAGTATTGGATGAGTGTTCCATCACCCTATCTGGTCAGGAAGCCAGAGTGGGCAATATATGGATCCCAGAGGTGGTTCTAATAGGTAGAAGAGAGCCACTACCTAGGAGCAGGCGTCCATGAGCTCTCACCACCATCCGCTGCCTCCCCATCTCCGTCTGCAGCCCAATCCAGGACGCTTGCCCATGAATCTACCCAACACCATTTTAATGGAGTGTGTCAGCTTACCATATCTTAGGTTCATCTACCAGGTAGTCAGGGGGCTTCACTTTGAATTTTAAGCATTCTCCTTCCAGAGCCGCTAGCTCCTAGTTGATCAGAGGCCCCAAGTCAAGAGCCAGCTTGATGTAAGACTTAAGGAAGCTGTTAGAACATTCATTTTGGGGCCAGGGGTCTTTAATGGTTTCCATCTAATGTTGAAAAACTGCCCTTCCCTCTTCATTTTCGTTATTAGTTGCTTATATTCCTTCAACCCGGAAACATGACAGCCTTAAAGATGATTCTGAGGTGAGTTTATTTTTTTCCAATCTCATTAAAATTTCTTTAAAAAACTATTGGCAAACGGTAGTTCATGAATAGCTTTAATTCTTTATCCCTCTCCTGGTCATGTGAGCCACTTGTATATGATGTATATGCCTATCCTCCTGTCTCACTGTGTTTTTAAATGCTTTTATTAATTTTTTAAAATTTAAAATTTTTAAAAATTTAAAAATTTTAAATTTTATGTCACCTAGATATCTCACTATAGCTCAGGCTTTGATGAATTTAGGTTTTGTTTTCCACTTTGCCATTCTTGAACTTCCCATTACGGTGCTATCCCTCCTTGAGTGCCAGCCTCTACCTCCTCCCACCGCTAGCGGGATGGGATGCAGGAAGACTTGACCTGCTGTATGCGAGCCAGCACAGCCTGTGGTCCAGATCCCCTTCTTGACAAAGAAACAGCCTGCCTGGGCTGGTCCTCACTCTTTTTTCTCAAGGACGGCCCTGTGGGCTTGGATGGAGAGGGGAGGATGAGCTGTCAGCTGGTGCTTGGCATGGCCTCTGTGTGATGCATCTCCCCAAAAGGACCAGCTGCTGTCCTGCCCATCCTCTGTTGACTCTGTGTTTTACAGTCCCCTCTCTTGATAGATGCTATGAAACGCTTTGAATCTGGAGGCCCTTGAATCTGACCTGCCTTTGTAGCTCCTAACTAGAGTTAGGAGGCCTTGGAAGCCTCTTTCTTTACTGACAAGGCACCCAGAATTCAAAGTGCCAGTGACTTACCCACATCCTATTGTAGCTCTAGAGCTAAAAGGGACTTACACAATTCTTTATGACCCCATTTGGGGTTTTCTTGGCAAAGATACTAGAGTGCTTTGTCATTTCCTTCTCTAGCTCATTTTACAGATGAGGAAACTGAGGCCAACAGGATGAAATCTTTTCATTGCCCAGGGTCACAGAGCTAGTAAGTGTCTGAGGCTGGATTAAAACTCAGGTCTTCCTGACTTCAAGCCCAGCGCTTTATGCACTGTGGCACCACTGGGAACGACTTTAGAGTTCAGCTACTCCAACACCTCTTTTTACTGGTGAAGAAACTAAGGCTGAAAGGAGAAACTGATTGCTCAGGGTCCCACTTAGGTTCCTAGAGTGAGAAGGGGCATCAGAAGTCAATATCGACCCTCCTCATTTCACAGATAAGGGAACAGAAGCCCCGAACAGCAAGTGACCTACCTAAGATTACACAGGGAGTCCGGGTTCCACCCCAGGGCCTTTTCAGTGTCTTGTACTGCCTCATGGTGACTGGTCCCACCCTTTCTGTAAACATTCCCATTAGGAGTGGTGGGGCGGTGCCTCATCTCTCCTCAACATCTCTTTGGCACATTGTTTATCTTGGTTTACTTTTAAAATTCTGTTTGCTTATGTTCCTTCTGTTCAGCCCTCCCATCCTCCCTCCTTTTACATCTGTTGGGCTACCCCCAGACCATCGCCCCACTCACTGGGCTGACGGTGCTCAGCCCGGCAGCGGGAGTGAGTCACCATCGATCTTGCCCGCCCTGGAATTTGACCAATGCACAATGCCCCCTCAGTTCTCCACAACCTTTGAGAAAAGCAGAAGCCAAATGACCAAAATGGGTATTTTGGGGGCTTCCTTTCTGTTGTCCTTCCCAAACGAGCTTGGCAAACAACCTTGCTACACACTAACCCATCTGAAGTAATGCTTGAACAAGCCCCTTCTTTCAAGAGTATAGGCTTTTAGATTTCAAGCTAGGTGGGACCTTCAAGGTCATCGAGTCTGACCCCTTTGCTTTACAAAGTTGGAAACTGAGGCCTGGAGAGGTCAAGTGATTCTCAAGGCTCATAAAGCGTTCCTAGTTTTGTATAATATCTCAGCTTCAGTATTTTCCCCGCTAAAAATATCTGCATTATTTATAATGGAGGGGGATGATAGCTCTTAATTACAGTGCCTTCATTGCTCACAGTGATGTCCCATAACACTGACACAAGTTAGTTAATCCTCTCAGAGAAGACTGAGCAAAGCCCAGTAGACTTTGGTGGCAGAGGTAGAAAACAAGGACCAAGCTCCAGGTTCCCTGTCCCTTGCTCTCTTTGGCACACACCATTCATCACTTGGAGGAAATGAGTCAGCCAACAGGGCTATTGCCTCTGCCTGAGAAGGTCAAGGTCTGACCAATCCTTTCCATGTTCTGTACGAAGAAAGAAGGTTCTTCCTTTTCTTCCTCTGGTTGATGGGTGCACTCATTAATTGGGAATCTTTCCTCAAGAGCTGTACAGCCTTCAAAACTTCCTTTTGCTTTCTAGCTCAAAGAGAGTAGATGTGGTCATAGAAATGGAATGCAAGTTGAGAGTGGAAATAGAATGGAAGGAAGGTCAGCTCCTTGAGGGCAGGACTGGTCTCAGTTTTTTGTTCTTGTGTCTCTAAGCACGATTCCTATTCCTAATGAGCACTCACAAAATGCTTGTTGCTGCAGAAGTGCACAGATAGATCCCTGATCCCTCCCTCCTTCTGAAGTAGAATGAAGCTTCTTGGGGGCAGAGACTTTCATTTTTGTCCAAGAATCCAGTGCCATAGTAGGTGCTTCATGAATGCTTATTGACAGAGAAGAGAATCTAATCAAGAGTTATTTTAGTATTGAGGACCAATATTTCTTCAAGAATTGTCACGGAAGTGAATGATCTGTATTCATAGCTAATTATGGAAGAGTCAGGGTGAGATTTGAGCTCAGACAGTATGTCCGTAGTGAGTCAAGAAGAAGTGGGTTCAAATCTCATCTTTCGACACTCAGCTTCAGCAAGTCTCTCTGTGCCTCAGTTTCCTCATCTGTAAAATGAGGGGATTTTATGTGAATGCCTCTTAAGTTCTCTTCTATATGATCACTTAAGCTCTTAACCCTCTAGGCAATTTTCTGATTTATCCTGTGGTCCTGGCTGGGGTGCTAGGATTAAAAATTGGTAAGACCTGAGTCCAGGTCCTGCCTCCATCATTCACCAGCTATGTGACCCTGCACCAGTCCTTTCTAAGCCTCAGGCAGCTCTCCAGGACTTATGTACTGTCATAAACAGATTGGTGGATGGAGTGCTAACCACATGCTGACCATGGCACAGAGCTTCCCTCTCTCTGCCTGCAGAATTGCTGCGTCTTTGATTTGATTCTCCCTTCTGTCTTCCTTTGGGGATGAGGGACACGAGAGTGGAAATGAGGATACTTGAATGCTCCTTCCAGAGCATGGATGGTATGATGTACTCTAATGGGTGAAGGATCTTGTTGTGGAAAATGTTCTCTGGCAGAATTACCATCACCTTGTTCTCAGAACCTGCCAAATCTTCCTTGTTTTTATTTTGTTTTTAGGACATTAAGCCAGTTATTGATGGAATGGATGGAATTAAAATATCTCAGGGGCTTGGGCTGCAGGACTTCGATTTAATCAGAGTTATTGGACGGGGAAGTTATGCCAAAGTTCTCTTAGTGCGGTTGAAAAAGAACGACCAGATTTATGCCATGAAGGTAGTCAAAAAGGAGTTGGTCCATGATGATGAAGTAAGTGACTTTAATGGTTAAAAAACAAAACCAAAAACAAAATAACAGGAAATGGGGTCTGGGAAGGGGAAGCGACCATTGCATAATTTAGCCACTAGAGGGCATGTATTCTAAACCTGGCATTTTGTGGACTTGAGAAACTTGCGGGAGGCAGGCAGCCTACAATGGTGATTAAAGCACTGGACTTGAAGTCAGATACAGTTTGAATCCAACCTCGAAAATGTGCTGACCAGGGGCCAGCTGCTAAAGCTTTGTGTGCTTAGCTATCTATCTGGCAGGGGTAGTTGTTACACTGTGTGTGTGTGTGTGTGTGTGTGTGTGTGTGTGTGTATGTGTGTGTATGTGTGTGTGTCCCAGCTACTGAAAACAGGACTTGTTTATTTTTGGTTTTCTCCGCAGGGCTTAGAGAGTCAGTGTTGCATGGTGGATAGAGAGCCAAGGCCTGGCTTCCAAGTCCCAGCTGGCTCTGTGACTTTGGGCAAGTCTCTTAAGCTCTTAGAGTTGCAGAGAAGGTGCCAGTCCACATTGGTGGAGGGAGTTTTCTCACTTGGGAGCTGCCTATATCGATAAAATCACAGATCCGTTCTCTATCCCTAATCTCTGGCACATACACAGTAGGTGCTTACTAAACGTTTGGTGCTTGAGCGATCTCAGACTTGGGAAAATCTAAATCTGGTCACTGCTGACACTGTGTCGAGATGACAGCAATAGCTTAGAATGTCAGCTTCTTGAGGGCAGGAAGTGGGAATCGCATAATAGAGGGCATTATGCGTATATGCCCATGATTTCCACAGTGTGGATGTTCCATCAGCTTCTGCAGATCACAACTTTTCCTGTGTGGTGTTTGTCCGTGTCCCCTAGAGAACCCCAAGGAGATCCAACTAATGTAGTAGAGGCCTTCCCTACTTTTTCTGACACCCTGAGGGTCCCAGTGGAACACTGGCTGTCCTCCCATAGTCCCTGGTTTCTCAGTGCATGACTAGTCTAGCAGTTACTAGCTCCCTTATGGATGTTGGTTAAATTGAACTGAATTGAATTGAATTGAGTACCTGCTCCAGAATCATAGGGTCATAGGAACTCAATCAAATCTACCAGTAAGCATTTATTAAGTACCTACTGTGTATATACACCACGTTAAATTCTGGAGGCGCAAAGAAAGGTGAAAGTCCCTGCCCTCAAGAGGTCACATTCTGACTGGGGAGACAACATGCAAACAACAGACAGGGAGATAATCCACAGAGATTGTCTCTGACCCCAGAAGCTAATGTTTCCATGCCATCACCCTGCTAGTAAGAGAGTGAGGAGAGACTTCGGTTGTGGTCTGTGTTGATGGAGCAAGTTCCAACCGCCAGGTTCTCTAGTCCTCTCATGGGCCCTTCATACAATTTCCAGGAGTCATTTTTGGAGCTCATCTCATTGTCCTTGGTAACATTTGAACCCAGGTCTTCCTGCCTCCAAAGCCAATGCTCTTGGCGGTAGACCAAACTGCCTCTCATAGGATGAATTTTCTAGGAATGAATGGCAGAGAAATTCTGGGTTATTGGGGTACATTAGGGCTGACCTTCACAGGGTTGCAGATCTTAAACTGGACCCTACTTCCTTGGTTTCCTCATCTGCACAGTGGCGGGGTGGGGGGGGGTAGGGAAGGAATGGGCTAGATGGGCTCCAAGATGCGATCCCTTCTGGCTGGACATCTGTGCATCTGGGGTCTTGTTTTCTCCTTTCCTTGTACAGAGATTGTTTCTGTTTCTCTCCATCTATGAGGGGAGTGACTTTTTTCCCATTGCGATGATGATGATGATGCCGACAATACCTAGCATTTATATAGCACTTTTTGGTTTGCAAATTGCCTATCAAGATTATATCACTAATAAATGATTAATCAATAATCAGTAATATTATAATATTATTTCATTTGATCTTGGGAGGGAGGTGCTATTATTATCCTATTTTACATATGAAGAAACTGAGGCAAGCATAAATAAAGTGACTTGTGCAGGGTCACCTAGCCAGTCATGACTGAGGGTGGATTTAACTTGGGTCTTTCTGACTCCAGTTCCATTGCTCTAACCACTGTGCCCCCTAGCGGCCTTCTGGTGACCTGAACATCTATTTCTCATCTGAGGCTCTCCTCTTTCCTAGCCCTGCTTCTGCACTTTCTTTGGCCCCAGGGCTGTGCTGCACAGCCCCAACAAGGGGCCTTCCAGCCGCTACTCAAAGACCTCCAGGGAGGTGGGGTGTACCGCTTTTTAAGGCAGCCCACTGCCCTATGGGAGAGCTTTCATCATTGGGAAGTTCTTCCTGACATCAAACCTAACTTTGCCACTTTGGCCCTCTGGAGCCAAGCAGAACAAGTCTACCCTCTCTTCCAAGTGCCCTTTCATTAACCGTTGTCATGTCCCCCTAAGCCTTTTCTTTTCTAGCCTTAACATCCCCGGGCTCCTTCAACTGAGCTCTGTATAACATTGCTTTCTTTTTGGTTGCCCACAAGCCTCTCAATATCCTTCCTAAAATATGGTTTAACCCAATACTCCAGATGTGGAGTCCCTGTTGCAGAGTATAAAGGAGTGGATTACTTTCTTAGCCCTGGATGCCATTCCTCTCCAGATATAGCCTCAGCTTGCATTACCTGTGTGGGCTGCTGTATCCCCCTCAGTGACTCTCAGAGCTTGTGGTCTGTTAAAACCTCCAGATCTTTTTCTGCTGATTCATAATTATGACAAATTATTGTTGCTTGATTTGCCAAAGCTTTCAACATTTTGGTCCAACATGCCCTATACATCAGGCAAATCCCTCTTCCTCTTTATCTATCTCTGCTCGTCCCAACTGACAAAGATGGCGTTCCGATGGGATGCCCTCTGGGTACTTGTATCGCTGGAGAACTTTGTTTCCAGCTAGATCCTTGTTTTCTGCAGATCTGTGGGATCGTTGGCACCATCTGTCCTTGGGCATCATTCAACCCTGACTTTTACTTGTGGGCTTTGTTTTGACTCGTTTGTCATCATTAATTCTCTACAGCTGAGTTCATTTCATCAGCTGTTTGATGCAGTGAATGTTTCACCAACGAGCAGAAGTCACTGGTGATAGTGTTAGCCGCTGGGGGTTCAAAGAGAAAAGCAAAGCCATCCGTCCCCTCTGGGAGTGTCTTCTCCTTGGGGAAAGGGGCATCAAGAGAGGGAAGTTCAGTACTCCTGAGAAGAACTGGTTCATCATCTGATTCCCCGTTCGATTGTAATCTCCTCGAGGGCAGGCACTGTCTTTTGCCCTTCTTTGAATCCCCGTTGCTTAGCCCAGGGCCGGGCACACAGTAGGCACTTAATAAATGTTGACTGACTTGACTGACCCCAGGGTCCATTGGGCTCTAATTAATGTGCCGCTGGTTCTCTTGCAGGACATCGACTGGGTGCAGACAGAGAAGCATGTGTTTGAACAGGCCTCCAGCAATCCATTCCTTGTGGGCCTGCACTCCTGCTTCCAGACGTCGAGTCGGTAAGCGAGCAGAGTGAGGAGCTGCTCCCTTTCCCCCCTAACTTTAGGAACTTTGCTCCTTCTAAGACAAGGAGGGTCCTGGGTCACCAGCATGCTGATCGCCCTCTACAGAGGCTGTCAGCAAAGAAGAAGAATAATGACAGCAATAAAGGTGGTAGTAATTGATTTATTGACTTAATTATATTATTATTGTTATTGTTACTAGTATTATTGCTAACGTTTACATAGCACCTACTATGTGCCAGGCAGTATGCTAATTGCATTCTAATTAAGTTCTCATTTGATTCTCGCAACAACCCTAGGAGGTAGATGCTGCCATCACTCCCTGTTACTCTCATTTTACAGATGAGGAAACTGAGACAAACAGGTGAAGTGATTTGCCCAGGGTTACACAGCTAGGAGGGACCTGAGGCTGAATCTGAACTCGGGTCTTCCTCAATCCTAGCTCAGTGCACTGTAGCGCCACCCAGCCTTCCGAGAAAGTTGGGTCTGGATTCCTGTGGGCTCCATCCATGTCAGGAAGCATTTACTAACTGTCTGCCAGGTGCCAGATCCTGTGCTAGGCACCCGGCATCCAGAGAACTAAACGGGCAGATCCTGCCCTCAGAGGGCTTTCTATCTGGTTCAAGATAGGACATAACCAGAGGTAATACTGTTCAGTCGTTTCTGTCACATCTAACTCTTCCTGACCCTATTTGGGGTTTTCTTGGCAGCGACACTGGAGTGGATTGCCCTTTCCTTCTCCAGCTCATTTGACAGATGAGGAAACTGAGGCAAACAGGGTGAAGTGACTTGCCCAGGGTCACATGGCCCATAAGTGTCTGAGGCCAGTTGCATGGTTTGCCTCTTGCCAGAGAAGAATAACATGAGCCTGGGAAGGTCAGCTTGCTCATTTTGCTAATGGAAATAAATGAAATATGTATTACAGTGCAGTAGCTGTGGAGCTGAAGTGACCCGCGAGGTCATCTCGGCTGACTCCCTCTTTTTGAAAAGGAAGCCCTCGGAAGACCAGGGCACCCGGGTTACAGGTGGCAAGGCTGGGACTCCGACCGGGGGCCTGGGACTTCAAGCTCTGCACTTTCTGCATCCTGCCCCCTTCGATCAATGTCCTCTGCTGCCTCCGCTTCCTTCACTGACAGCCCTCTGATTGGTTTAAAGAATCATCTTGCAGGTGGTGACTTCCAGACTTTAAACCGCTCGGTGTATGAATTCTGCACCTCCTTTTTGCATGTTCCCCTCAGCTCTTCCTTCAGCTCCCTGGCGTGCAGCGAGTTTTGTGATGAGCTATTTGGCTTTGAAGGTTGTAGATACACGGATGTAATCAATTCCTAGTCGGCATTCCCGACTCTCGTCTGTTCCTGCAGATCGTCTCTTCTGTCTGGGCCGGGTGTGTATGTGCACGCACGCACGTGTGCCCCACTTAGCAACTCTTGACTGGCGCCTCCGGTTCAGCAGCATGGAGTGGCCGTTGCTGGGGTCTAATCCCAGGGCAGAGCTCAAGAAATGCCTAGTCACCCCAGTGGTTGGCCAGCGCCTGATAATCTGTGACCTCTCTTCCCTCAGGTGTTTATTAGACATGATGTCCTTGCCCCTCATAGGGAATAAGCCTATCGTTACCGTTAGGGAGGTGAGGCTTTTATAAAAGGCTAGTTCACTGTCAGGAGCCCTGGATTTGGAGTCCAAGGACCCGGGTTAAAATCCTGGCTTTGCCACGTGCTCTGTGCGACCTGGGCCAAGCCACTGCTGTGTGCCTCAGTTTCTTTCCTAGTTGAATTACTTGACCTAAGAATCAAATAAGATGCTATATGGAAAGTGCTTTGCAAGCCTTGATAATGGCACGTTCAGTGCCCTATTTGTGTTCATAGTAACAATTATTCTCGTTTGCATTGCAATCCTGAATCCCCTGAGATCCTAAGTGATTCTGAATTGGGAAAGCTGATCATAGGCTCATATAGCTCAAGTCTGAAGGGGACTCATTGATCACATTTGATAGATAAGGAAATTGAGACTTAGAGATGGGGAGTGACTTGCCCAAGGGAACATGGGTAAGGAAGACTTGAGTTCAAATTCAGCTTCAGACACTGTATGACCCTGGGCAAGTCACTTGCCCTGTTTGCCTCAGTTTCCTCATCTGTAAAGTGAGCTGGTGAAGGAAATGGCAAACCACTCCAGTATGTCTGCCAAGAAGATCCTAAATGGGGTTATGACTGAATCACGGAGAGTCGGACAGGGCTGAACCACAGCACCGAGATGCTATTAAAGCTTGAGAGATACCCTGTCTAGACAGCAATCTGGGAGTCAACGTTCGAGGGTGGAGCTTTAGCACCTGGGCCGTCGGGGAGCAGTCTTGGGGCGGGGGACTGTCAGAATTCCCTCACAGAAGGCGGCGTCTGAGCTGAGTCTTAGGGAACAAAAATATGAATTCACTTGACATGAGTCAATAGTTTGAGAGAAAGTATAATAGGCGCTGAATCGTGTGTCATAGACATTACAGTAGCAGCTTGTCACACTGGAGAGGGCATTGGACATAGAGTAAGGAAGACCTGAGTTGGAATCCCAGCTCAGACACTTGCTGTGTAGTGGTCCTGGACAAGCCATTCAGCCTCTCCTTACCTCAGTTTACCCATCTGTAAGTGGGAATAATGGAAGCACCTGCATCACAGTATCGGCTTCCCCAGCTTCCGTCGCGTCCCGTTCCAAATCCCCCTTTCTACAGGACGTTTTGCCTGATCCCCCCAAGTGCTAATGCTTTCCCGTCTCTGATCGTTTTCCATTCGTACTTTATAGAGCTTCTTTGTGGGTACTTAGTTTTGATTGGGCAGAGCCAACTCCCCAGCGATGAGAGCTTGCTCCAAAGTAGGCTGGGCAACTTCTGAAGGTAGGGAGTTTCCCCCTGACTGGAAGGCTTCAAGCAATACCTGGGGACCACTGGTCACGCGCCATAGAGTGCATCCTTCTCCAGTTACGAATGAATGAAAAGGATTTATTAAGTGTTCACTCTACCAGGCCAGGGATTGTGTTCATGAATACGGTGAACTGGTTGGCCATTGAGATCATATCCAGCTCTCTCACATTCTACAATAAAAAGGCAGAAGAAAGACCTGTCCGCAGAGAGCTTACATTCCAACAGAGAGCAGAGAGGGAACTTTGTGTCTGAGATGTCGCAAAGGTGGTGAGTGGAGGGGCAGCTAGGTGGCGCAGTCGATAGAGCACCGGCCCTGAAGTCAGGAGGACCTGAGTTCAAATCCGGCCTCAGATCAAATGTTTGGCACTTACTAGCTGTGTGACCCTGGGCAAGTCACTTAACCCCAATTGCCTCACCCCCCCCCAAAAAAAAAGATGGTGAGGCCACACGCCCTTTTAAGTAGCAGTAGCAGGGTTGACCTTAGTGCTGTTCCTTGAGGAAGATGTCAAGACCAGAAGGAGTGAGTGTGCATGGAGCAAAATGATGTTGTCGTCAGATGGCCAGAGCTTGCTGGGGGTAATTAATGTAATGTGTGAGGTGTCGTGCCAAGTTCCAGGGAGACTTAGTCACCTGGATTAGCTGGAAAGTAGAGTGCATGAATGAGAGAGTAATGGAAAATAGAAAAGCAGGTGGACCTCAGATTATGATCGACCTTACATTCCACACTAAGGATTTCTGTTTTATCAGAGGGTCGGTTGGGAGCCGCTGGACTTCATTGAGCTGAGGAGTGATGTGGTCCATCTTGTACCTTAGGAAAGTCACTTTGCCAGCACTTTGGAGAACTAATTGGAAAGAGGACAGAGTTAATAGAGTTAGGGTTGATATGCCAGGGAGCTCCATAATATGGCCATTTCAGTGGTCCAAGCATGAGGTGATGAGGTCCTGAATTTGGGTGGTGTTTGCATGAATCTGCACGAAGGAGCAGATGAGAGAAATGCTGGGCTTGTGGACAGCTGTTGGTGGCACAGAGAAGGCAGGTCTGTGTTTCTGACCGGCCTGCTGTCTCCGCCCCCTCCACTCCCCCTCCCCACCCCCTCAAACTGGCTCCTGTCAGTTAATAGCTCTGTGAACAAAGGAGTAGACAGAAGCCTCCTGCTTTGTTCCCTAGGATCTTTCTTCTCTTAGGAAGAGGAATATAAAAAAATCCAAAGCAAAGCCCAATGATAGTATTACAGCTATGAATTTTAATTATATGCATCAGTCAGTTATATGCTGTGACCCAGGTCCTAGGAATCGGTGTTGTGAGTACTTGGCCAAAGGTCACATCTCTCTGAGTCCTGCTGAGCCCTGGCCTCCTGCAGCTCGGCCCCGGCCTCGAAAGGCCAAAGCTTCTCCCAAGCAGCCACCAGCCCTGGGACTCCCATCATGGTTTAAACCTAGGTCTACGCTGAGCAGCCCTGCCCCTTCCTTTTGTGCATGAGGGACCAATGACAGTGTTCTAGCTTTCCTACATCCAGGACAGGTAACTGTGCTCCCAGGAGCACCAGCATGATGAAAAGGGAAGGCTTCTGGAAACATGACTGATCAGATTCAGTTGGGCTAAGGTCAGTTATGCTCAGGAGTCCCTAATGGTGGCAGTAGCCACCTGCCAAATAAATTAGTGAGTGAAATATTTGGTGAACCGCCCAGCATCTAAAACTTGGAAGAGACCATTGTCATCCTTTGTAGCTCTTTGCACCCCTGCCCTTTGCTAGGCCCTATGACATCAGAACAGCGCAAAAGTAGAATCAATCCACTGGCCAACAGGCATTTACTAAGCACCCACTGTGTGCCGGGTACATGCTAATTACTAGAGATAAAAAGAAGGGTACACATAGGGGAGCTTACAATCTATTGGGGGAATCAGCATTCAATAAGCTATGTATCCTAAGCTGTACAGTATGAATGGGTGGTGATCTCAGAAGGAAGGCACTAGCAATGGGAAGGGACCAGGAAGGACCTCCTTTAGAAGGTAGGATTTGAGCTGAGTCTTAAAGGAAGGTACGGAAATAAAGGTACAGGCCCTGGTACAGAGGTGGCATTCTAGGTATAGGTA